CAAATCCACAACATATACTAAATGCAAGTTTGATCATAATGTTAATGATTCTGAGTATTTCCCAAAATGGTAAAACATTTAAATTGTCACTCCTGCACAACCCCCTAAATTAGAAACTGAAAGAAGACATTCACAATATAGAGAGAATTAGCACAAAGAATATAAAGAACTCTTACAAATCAATAAGAAAACCGGAAAAAAAAATGGACAAGAAAGAACAGGAATTCAACTGAAGAGAAAACATAAAAGGCCAGCAAGCCAAAGAAATATTCTATATCAATGATAGTCAGGAAAATGTCATCAGATAATGAGACAATGTATTAAAACCCTTTGACTTTCCAAAGTTAAAACGGCAGTATCAAATGTGGAAGAGGACAGAAAAATGAAAGAACCCTATTCTCCTATTTCTTGACAGGAATATAAGTTCATATAACCACTGGAAGTTCAGTATAGCATCTTCTCAAATATGCAACAATAAGAGACAGTCAACCTATGAAATATGCAGCAGTAATAATGAATGACCACAGCAACAGCAACAGTACAGATAAAATTAGCTAAATTAGGTGAAAAATCAAGTTAAAAGATTCAGACTATATTCAACACAATTATATCAAAACAACTAAAATAAAAACTACATCTTTTAGGATTATATAGTCAATAAAACTACCCACAAGGAAGAGAATGACCAGATGATTCAGTATGATGACTACCTAGGTGATAAGGAAGGCAGAGTCGGGGTCATGGAATGGAGGAAACAATGCATGGATGTTTGGAGGAGGGAAAGGGTTGGTCCATGAGTACTTACTAAGACAATAATGATTCAGTACAATATGCGCAAGGTTTCACAAAAGAAACAAATTTCATGGAATCTGTTCAATGAAAGTCCTGAAATATAATCATCCCCTTAGTAAGTACAGGGAAGGGAACAGGAAAAGACCAATATATAAAATATATGATACTCAGCATACTATGTACTAGGTCATAAGTCTTCTATAACCAAAAACAAACTCCAAAAATTCTGATATAATTACTTTTCAACAAAATAAAATGTCTATGTACTCCAGCAGTAAAGCTTTAACTAACTAGGCAAAGTAATCACTGTCAAGCCCATTGTGCAGGTATTATTCATATATAATTACACTGTTAAACTTCAGTTATATTTGCTTTAAAGACAGTTAAATAAGCCAGGTACACCTTTAATGCCAGCACTTGGGAGGCAGAGGCAGGTGGATCTTTCTGAGATGAAGATGAGCCTGGTCTACATAGTGAATTCTAGGCCAACTGGGGCTACAGGGAGACCCTGTCTAACAAAACCAACCAAACAAACAAAAAAAACAGTAGAGGGCTAGAAAGATGGCTCCGTGGTTAAGAGCAATGGCTGCTCTTCTAGGGGACCTGGGTACTGTTCCCAGCACCCACAAGGCAACTCACATTCATCCTTAACTTCAGTTTCAGGAAGTCTGATGCCCTCTTCTGGTCTCTGCAGATACCAAGCTCACATGTGATGCACTTTCATACATTCACGCAAAACATTCATACTTATAAACAAAATCTTAAAATAAAAAGCAAACAAAAACAGTTTATGGGTCCACAGAACTGGGACAACTATGATGAAATGGGAAACAGATCAGATTTAATAGCGTAACATGGGAAATGTACTTAATATTCTTAATGTTAGTTTCCTAACTCATAAAATGGAAATAACATCCCCTACCTCATTAGAGTATTATGAAGTTCAAATAAGATACACAGGACACCCAGGAACAATGTCTGATATGTAGCAATAATGTTAGATTTATTTTCATAAAAATCTTTTCTAGGGGCTGGAGAGATGGTGCTGCCAGTTAAGAGCACTGGCTGTTCTTGCAGAGGACCTGGGTTTGGTTCCCAGCACCCACATGATGGCTAGTAACTGTCTGTAACTCCAGTTCCAGGGGATCCAACACCCTATTCTTACCTCCATGGGCACTGCACAACATGGGTGCACTTACATATATGCAAGCAATACACTCACACATAAAATAAATAAAAAACAATTTTTAAAAATCTCTTCTAATACAAATGTTATTTGCACTCTCTTCTGGAAAGCAAAAATTACATATTTAGATTCTTCAACATAGTTTTGGTGGGTATTTAGTAATGTTACTAACATTAACACCTGTAATTTGAGGCTAACTAGTTAACGTCCCACTTGGGCAAATTCTCTTTATCCAGGCAATCACTTCAGTAGGAATTTTCATGAAGAAGATCAAACACCAATATCAACAAGGTTATTTTTTAATATGCTACTTGATATTTGGTTCTATAGCCTATAAAATTACTGCTATAGCCATTTGGAGATTCTTTTTAATTTTCATTAATCCAGTTTCCTTGAAAATAAAATTTAGTTTCTTAAGCCTCACAAAAGTAAGTTTCCTGCTATGTTTCAAATTTAAAAATTTAAGAAACTAGTACTAATTAGTTATAATATAAAAACTAGAAACCACCCAGTTAAGTTTAAATTTTTAAACAATCTATTTTTATGTTACTAAAACAAATACTCTTCCTTATACCTTAAAAGTCTCAGGCCATCAAAGTTTGTGTGTACTCTATTAATGCTTCCTTGTTTAATAAGCCTCCATGTTATTATTAGCAAGAGTTAGGAACACCACTCATAGAAACATTTACAGTAGTTAAGACAAAGTAATACATTTCAGGTTTGTAGTCTGGCCTTTCTGTAACCAGATTATTAACACGTAAGACAGTTCTAGCTTCAGCAAAGTATTTCTAATTCTGCAGCATGCTTTAAATCGGATGTATGTTTCTAAATAAGTGTTTCATTAAAGGTATAATAAGCAATATCCAGAGTGAAACAATGTTCCCAAGACAAGATATGGTAAAGTAACAGTCTCAGCCATTAAACACATTTAAAACTGATTAAATATTATGTATTATTTACATACTTAAAAATCTGGCAGATAAACATTGAGAAATTAGCATTAAACTAGCTTTCAGTCTAAATAAATTCAAATGATTTACAAACTTTAAAAATGATTCTCAAAAAAAAGATTCTCAAAGTCTGAAGTTTGATATTGAGTCAAAATACACTAGTTTCATGATCAAATGAAATGTGTTGGAATAAGTGTTAGCGAAGCAAATTTTATAACCATATATCTTCAGTGCTGATATACACAATACAGTTAAATATTTTAATAAACATGACAAACTTTAAATATATTAACTTTTATTGGAATTCAAAGTCCATTAAACCAAGAAAAATGCCTTGAATACACATGGCAAGCTTAAGGTTATTAAAGTAATACGTACTAAAAACTATTTTTTTCTAGAGGGTCTTATAGTTTATTATAAAACTTAATTATGTCAGGTATTTCCTATTTTGTTTCCATTTTAAAAGTATATTTAAAGTTTCTTCATTCTTTAACTTGCTACCTTGTTATTGCTAAAATTTGCCTTAAGTAAAAGATCCTAAATATTATAATTCAATCATAAAAATTTTCAGTTCCAGTGCCAAAATAAGAGGCTTTTTATGTCAACTTGCCATAAAATACAAGAATGCCATACACTTTATAATTCCAACAGCACTGATAAGAAAAATTCTGCCATTTTAATAGTTTTTTACTCTACCAAAAATCAAGATGTGACTTTCACGGGCATTTTTACTCTAGGAAATGTAAACTATTTTCAAAAGCTTCGGGACTTCATAATTTTAGAAGCATGTAAATTTAAAAAAGAATTCCATTCAATTAGTAAAAGTGATGTTATAAGAGCTATTTATGAAACACTAATTGTAATTAATTAAAACATTATAGAGTGACATTTTCAAACGATAGGAAACTCAACTTTGAGTTTCCAAATGTGCAGCAGTGTATCAGTTCATCCTGCTGAAATCTCTGATTTTTGTTTCGGATACACCAAGTATCATACTATACTTACTTGCAAGCTTACATCTGATTACCCGAGGATCTATAGAACCAGGTTTACACAAGGATTTATGGGAAATGCACTTCGACAAGAAATTTACATGTAGATGCAATAATTTAGGCATCAAAAAGAATCAAGGTGGGTTTCTAGATTACTTAAAAAACAAAAAACAAAAATCCGCCCAATTTTCCAAAAGAAATGCGTTATTTTCTTTTTCCTGTTAATTCTCACCTCTTATCTCTGAGTAGTCAAAATATGCGCTCATTAAAACAAACCAAAATAAGCTTAAGTCAAAAGATACACTTTTAATCCAGATGTAAACATCTCTTGAACACTCCAAATTAATAGTCGGAGTCTCCCACACCATGGAGATCTCAAAACAAAATTCGTGCTTACATCATCAAATATTTCGCTGGAAATAGGAAAGAATAGTACTGCTGCGCGACAGGGCTCACTAATTAGAGGATCTATTTTGTTATCTTCTGCGGACATGTGCTGCCTAACGTTTTCACTTAATCAACTGTTCTCCCGTTTGTAAACAACTCCTGTGGCCCTTTCTCCTGAATGCAAACTGGAGGGAAAATGAAAGTCTGGGGGGGGGGGGGGAAGCATCAGTATCTCAACTTCCGGATCTGAGCAGGGGTAGCCAACCGAAGGACCATCTATCACCTAGAGTTCAAAAACAAAAGTCAAGCAAAGAAGAGGTGACACAAACGGAGCCCGGTCACCTGCAGAGGCCGGGCAGCGAGGGCCGAGTCCTCCGGTGGCTGCACGTTCTGGGGGCGCTCTTTGTGCGGCGAGGGGAAGGGGAGGGACCGGCCGGCAGCCTGGTAGTCATTCAAAGCAGCGGAGCAGGGGGGAGGCGGGGCGGGGCCGAGGGAGGGGGCGGCGGTGACACCGGGAGAGACCCGCGCGGGCTCACGGCCCCGCCCGCGGGACGGGGTCCCCTCCAACTCGGGCCCGGGCTGCGGCGTGGCCGCCGGGTGACACCCGCCGACTCCGTGCACTTAGCGGGCCAGGGGCGCGGCACGCCGCGGCAGCCCTGGCCGGGGTCGCTCCCCCAGGGCCGCGGCCCTTACCTGCAGCTCGGTGAGCAGGATCTCCCCCCGGTCGGGGTGCGACGCCATGGCTCCGCTCGGGACTCTGCACCTGAAGGCGGCCAGCGACGGGGCCGAGGGAGAAGGCGGGACGGGAGCCGGGCGGGGAGAGAAAGCGGCAACCTAAGGAGTCATGGAGGCGCGGCCCCGGCTGCAGGCGCGGCTCAGGCGGCCCGGCTCATGGAGAGCGGCGGGGAGCGAGGGCCCTCGGCGCGGCTCCCCTCGCCGCCCGCCGCCGCCGCCGCCCGCCCGACTCTGTTCCCTCAGGGCGACGCCGGGAGCCGCCTGGGAGCTCTCGGTGCGGGGCGCAGCGGCCGCGGCGGCAGCTCCTCCTGTCGCACCATTTGGCTGTCACTGCGTCGCAAAAGCGGCCTCGCTTGGCGGCCGCCGGCACACGTGACGGCCGCGGCCACCGCCCCCGGCGGGCTGAGGAAGGGAAGGAGGGGTCGGCAGGGATCCCGGGCCTGCAGCGCGGGGCTGGGCGGGGCTGGGCGACGCGACTTCCGACGCGGCTCTGCGAGCGGCGGGGCGGCCTCTGAGCGGGCCGGGGTGACCCTGAGGCGAAAGACCTGGGCTAGCTCGGGGGAGGCGGGAAGAACTGCAGACCACGCCCACCGCCCTCCGCGTTTAACGGCCCTGAGCGAACGCTAGGTAGCCGGAACCCGCTCGCTGGGCTCTTTTCCTGGCCGGAGCTGTGGCCGCAGCCGTTCGCCCCCGTCCAGAGCCCCGAGGAGACACAAACCTCCACTCTTCCCCTTGCGCCCCCCCCCCCCAGCTGCTGAAGCCAGTCGTCACCTTTGCCACACGTAAGGTGCGCCGCCCCTGAATCTGGAGTGGGGTTCGAGCCCTGCCAGTTCCAGTGCAAAACCTGCTGATGTTTTCGCCTCCAGCACGAATCTTAACTGTGGTGTGGGCTGGAAAACTACTGAGCCCAGTTCCTGAATTGATGTTTAACTGAATTTAATGGAAGGAGAGGAGATGGTGGCGGAATCGGGGTCGGGGCAACAACTTTTCCTTAGGGTAAACGTAAGAATGAACTTGTCTACTTAGCATAGCTGACGAGTGGAAGCTTAGGCTCCAAAAAAATACTATGTTGAGAATGTTAATATTAGAACTTAATAAGCAATAAAGTGATGCCTCTGGAAAAAAAATGATACTATGCACTCAAGTATCAATAAAGTTGCTTTGGTTTTGTCTAATCAGTGAATGGACATTCTAGGCGAATGCCTCATTTTTGATTCTGAAACTAAAGTACAATTGCTGGTTCAAAGCTAGCTGGAGAAAGTGGTAGGGGGTTATTTAGGGAAGTCTTCGGGGTTAAATGGCAGCTTCATTTAGGTAGGAAGCTTCTTAAGAGAGGCATTAACTGGCGTCTTTAAAAGTCTGGTGTGTAACTTGGATTCCATGTGCTGTTGAACTGATGCAGGGCTTGCATCTTCATAAATACAACAAACGTTGCAGATCTAGTGCTCTGTGACTACACTTTCTGAACTCCCAACTAATGATATATTAATAAAGAATTTTTCTGGTGTACTCTTCAAAAGTCTTACAACTATTTCTGTGTTTAATGTATTGCCTGAGTTGAAAATGATAATTAAAATACATGAACTAACTAACACTTGGAAAGGCCACAATATATAATTACCTTCCCTGGTAACTAATAGCCAGGGAGAGTTAGGCCCTGGAGTTATAACTAGAATTAAGAGAGTCCATAACAAGTGAGTGGAGAGCCCTTAAGGGAAGCAGCCTTGTGTCCAAAACAACTATAATGTGATTTTAAATGGTAGGTACAAAGCATTAGGGGAACATTGATGTGTGATGTGTATAATCTTTTATTGTAGTAAGATAGGCATAACAAAATTTACTATTTGAAGTGTGTAATTCAGGGGCACTAAATTCCTGCTGATACAGTTTGCTTATTTTCTATCTTCAGAATGGATTTGAGATTGCCAACATACATATAGTAGGTGAATAATGGTTGAATTAAGGATTTCCCACACAGTGTTGGATGTAGTGGGGCACACCTTTAATCCCAGAACTCGGGAGGCAGAGGCAGGCAGTTCTCTTGAGTATGAGGACATCTTGGCCTACGTAGAAAGTTCCAGGCCAGCAAGGGTTACATAGTAAGACCCTGTCTAAAAACCAAACAAGCAAAAAAAAAAAAAAATCCAAAAACTTATGCAATAGCTGAGAAACATATATACAATGAGTATTTGGAAAAACAAATTTAGATACAAAGAGAAAATGTTCATATTCCAGTGCCCTGGAATTTTAGAGCTAGGAGAGCCTCTTACTAGAAGTAGAAATAATAAGCCTTAATGGTGCTAATTAGGAGGAAGAAACGTTATTTCTTAGTGACAGCGATGGTGAACTGAGACTTGGAATCCAAGTCTTCCTTTTGCCATCTGTTCTTGTGTTTTTCTATACCACACTTTAGAGTAGAACCCTTATGTAAACTGAACTCAAAACATTATACATCCTCAGATATTTACCATAGGAAGAGACCGCAAATCTTACTTATTTCTAGTGCTAAAACAAGTATAGTAATTTTAATCTCGAGGTGAGCATGGTGGTGCATGCCTTTAATCCCAGCACTCAGGATGCAGAGGCAGGCAAATCTCTGGAATTGAGGTCAGCCTGGACTAGATAGCCAGTTCCAGGCAGTCAGCTGGGGCTACAGAGAGACTCAATCTAAAAAAAAAAAAAAACCCAAAACAAATAATTTTAATCTTGCAAATCACATATAAGTATAAATGACAAAATCATAAGAATTATTTCTGAGCTTAGTTGTGCTGGAAAAAGTACCACCCAAAGGGGAAACTAGCAGAGAACTGCCTGTTTTAGTGTTAAAAACTGATCAACTTAAAGATACTACTACTAGATTAAAAAAAAATAAAGTAATAAAATGTGAATCATACTTATTAGACTCATGCACACTTGAAAAAGTTTTAATGTATATCATTGATTCAAGTGTGTTCAGATGTGTTTTAGCCCCTGCTGACAGATGTTTTTTAGAAAATCCTATGTACAGTTCACTTCATTCTAATATTTTTTGAAAGATGAAGGAAACTTAAATTTCTAAAGTCATAAAATATCTAATTTGTATCACTAGTTTACAGGCATCTTTTAAAATTTTTTCATGGATATTTTACAAGTTTTTAAGTAGAAATGACCAAACATATAAAAAGTTTACTGACTGGATAAAAAGTGTTATCTTATTCTGTCTTCCTTTTTGTGATAACATTTCCCTAAAGTTCCATAATTTAAGAGAAAATAGTGGTAGAACCAACTATGCTTTTTCAGTGCTGTTGAAACAATGTTTAGCTGAACGTATATCTAGGGAAAGGATCAAGAACCTGTACTTTTTGAGCTTCACGTCTTCATTTCTATTATGTATTTCCCATTTGTTGGTCCTTAATATTTAGAACATTTGAAATTCCAGTCTGTCCCTACAATATTATGGAGAATTGAGTGAAGGGTTTTTTTTTTTTTCTTGTTTTTGTTTTGTTTTGCTCCAATATCAATGTTAAAAGAAAAAGAATACCCACCTACCCACTCTTACCCACACATCTAAAAGAAGTATTACTGGTATTAAAAATAAGAATCTGGCCTGGAAAAACAGCTCAGCAGTTAAGAACACTGGCTGTTCTTACAGAGAACCCAGGTTCAGTTTCCAGCATGCACATAGAGGCTAATGCCATCCTTAATTCCAGTTCCAGGAGATCTGACTCCCTCTTCTGGCCTCCACAGGAATTGCACAAGGATGCAGTTACATGCATGCAGGCTAAATTCCTAAAATCAGGAAACGTGCTAAGGACTACCTGGTCAGGGCTAGGACCTAGTTCAGTCAGTACAGTATTTGCCATGCAGCCATGAGGACCCGAGTTTGATCCCCAGAACCCACGTAAAAAAGCTAGGCATGATGGCATACACTTGTGATCCTAAAGCTGAGGAGTTGGAGGGAGGTGGAGACAGGAGAATATCTGGGGCTCACTGGCCAGCCAAGCCTAACGTCATTGGCTGAGTTTTAGGCCAGTGAGACCCTATTTCAAAAAACAAAGTGGACAGCACCCGAGGAAAGACATCTGAGTCTGACCTCCGGCCTTTGCATATATGTACACACATAATGCCCATGCACACACATACATGAATATACACAAAAGGAAAATAAAACCTGTCTGGTCATTGCCCTTTCCTCCTTAGAAACTCCTTTTAGAAAATCATTCAGTTGTATACTGTGTGAGGATAATTTTGACGGAAAGGTTAAAGAACACAGAATAATAGAGTTGATTGTAGTGACTGTGGCAATCGCTGTTGAGGATGTCCGTGCAGTCTCATCCCCTACACTGAAAAATTTCCCCTTCTCCAGAATAGGCATCTCTGAAGACATGATGACTGTGCCTAATCTAAATCTTCCAGTACAGTGATTGGACTACTGATAGGCTGTGTACAAGTTTAGACACAATTAGCATCTCTACAAGAATTTGAAGGACTGATCATTTGATGGCCCTAGAATGGGGAGGGCGTTTTCTGCCATGTGCACAAGGATTCAGAAAAAAACCCCTGCTCTTCAGAGAATGAAAAGAATTCCTGTCACTGAGGATATGATGAGTTGTTATATCTGATCTCTGACTTCATGGAGCTTGATGTTTTGTGAAGCAGGTATAATGACAAGGTAAATTCTGGCTTGCTTACTGATTTATTAATTTATTCATTTTTAAAGTGTTGGAGATTGGCCCCAAGGCCTTGTCTATACTAAGCCAGCGATATACCACTGAGCTACAGCACCAGTTTTTTTTACAATTTTAATTAGAGACAATTTTACTAAGTTGCCAGGCCGACTTTGAGCTTGCAGTCCTCTTGCCTCAGCTTCCCAAGTAGCTGGGATTACAGGCCTGCTCCATCCTGGATCAGGCTTCTTTATACAAAGGCCAGACAGCCCTTTTCCGGGTCAACACCAGCTAGGATCTCACTTGTTGATAAATGTTAGCTGAAAAAAAAAAAAAGAAAAGAAAACTCCAAGGAGAAAGAGACCAGGAGCAATTTTGAAGTTGCTGAAAGGTCATAAGACTATAGCAAAGAAATGGGATAGTAAACAAGAGCGTCTACACTGTGTGTCTCAGTCAAAACAGGCTGCATTATGCTGAGTAACAAAATAGTCCAAAAGCTTCTGGTTGTTTATGATAAGGTTTATTTGTCTACTGCTGCCTCCACATGGCTCTGCTACATGGCATCTTCAGTCTGAACCCAGACCAACAGAGCAACTTAGGTGGAACATGACCATTGCCCCGAAAAAACCAAACCAAAACAAAACAAAAACCCCCTAAATCCTGGCTCTTGAAGTGTGTGCTCA